AGTGTCCGTCGCTCTTGGCTGTACTGTCTCTAGATCACCAATCGTTGGTCCTCATGCAACCACTCTTCAACGCTATAGACAACATCTCTAGGGCAAGGCGGAACGTCCGTATTCCGCCCCGCATGTCAACGAACATCCTCCCGCTCCCTCATGACTTTCAGTATTCCGCCTTGCAGTCCACATACTGTGATCGTATTAGGCATAATGATTGACTTGACCAGAATTCAAATCCTGCGATGGAACGAAATCCATGAACACGATTTTAACCCCCCCCTGCCGTCCTCACTGCTCGTAATGCACTTCTTGTGCGTCGTCTTGACGCAGTCCTTCATTGCGCTTTATGCATAGTCATACTGGGTTTCTAGATCTGCCTCCTGCTTACTTTTTTTTCCTCCCAACCAAAGAATATGTTTCCCATTCTCCTGGTGAGCGCGCTACTACCCGTGCATCCGCCTCTCTGGGCCTTCTTTCCTGTCATGGCCTGGTCCGGTTTCACAATCGCCATCGGCTTCCTCCTGCCCTGGTAAGTCGCCACACTCCCTCCTCTCTCATTTTTGCGGTTTTCTGCACTAAGCCGACGCGGTGTTTCTCGCCGTCGCGGGGGTTGGCTTGCGTCTTCGAAGCCGAGCTAAGCCCTGCTCGCTAAGTCTGCTCCCGCCCACTTATACCCCCTCCCGCGCGGGATGTTTTTTTTCATCCCACTCGTCTCCGGCTGCACTCATTTAATCAGATGAAGGCGGTGGATTCCACCCCCGGGTTGGGGTCTACAGTAGATGTGCTATCTCATGAACTGTTAACAGAAATTCTGAAATTTGTTTTCGATTCGAAAAGATAGCTTCAGTAGGATCGCAATGTTATCAGACAGTAGAATTGCTGGATGTCGTCTTTTGAACGAGTTTCTCTCAAGTCGCCTGAAAAACTGAGCTCGGTAAAATGACCACGTAGGTAGTATAATTTCTCCTCATTGTTTTTCTATCCCCTTATAGATTCAAACATATCTTACAGAAAACGCGTACGAAAATATTCGTCCTTCTACTCACTTGCTAGAAAATTACATTTTTCCTAAATTTCATACTTGAAGGAGGAGTATAATTCGGTTTAAAAAACTTTTGATTCCCGAAGAATTTTGAATCTGATCTTGTGTTACACTTGCATTCAAGATTTTTAAGCCACCAGCTGTACATTTTAACTGTACGGAAAATCATATTAAGAAGACACCACATAGGTTCCTGAAATTTTGCAGTGAATTTGAAATAGATTGGGCAATTTACGGGCAACATTAGTAAATGCAGAGTTATGGTGTTTTATGAATGCACATTTCGCAGTCCTAAGAAATCTCGGCGGGAATACAGTGTCGCAACACTTAGAATTGTCTATTCCCCCACCAGCCTGTCTTACGGGCGGACTACTACTACTGCTACTACTACTACTACTACTACTACTACTACTACTACTACTACTACTACTACTGCTACTACTACTACTACTACTACTACTACTACTACTACTACTTCTACTACTACTACTACTACTACTACTACCACCACTACTACTACTACTACTACTACTACTACTACTACCACTACTACCGCTGTTACTACTAATACTACTACCACTACTACCGCTGTTACTACTAATACTACTACCACTGGCGGGAATACAGTGTCGCAACACTAAAGAAAACTTTTTCCCCCGTCTACCACCACTGATACGGTGAATACTACTAATAATCCTACTATTAGTACTACTACTACTACCACCGCCACCACGGCTGCCATTGCTACTCTACCAACGCTTACAGTATGGGTAACTAACTGCAATAATACTAGCATCAGTAACGGAGTGTTGCGACACTGGTATCCAACCGAAATCTCAACTAGAAACTTTTTACAACTCGAAGTTGCTCTGTCTTCAAGCATAACGTTGATGAAAGAGGACGTACTTGGCTACCAAATGAGTAGACGAACGAAAATTTTCAAGCGTTTTCTATAAAAATTATTCAAATTTTTAAGGGCATGGAAGATCAACGAGAAAATTTCATACCATCCAGGTAACCATTTTTCACAGATTGTGGCTTTTGCAGACGGCTAGAAAAAAAGTTTTTTTTTAAATCCGACATCCTGGTTAGACTGAAATATTTTGAGATTATGCTGCACGGTAATTAACATGACAACCCTACTTACAGTAGGTGAGCTAACTCATGAAATGTCAACCGAAATTCCGAAATGCGTTTTCGTTTCGAAAAGATTAATTAAGTAGGGTTGAGAAACTAGTCAGCCAGCAACATAATTCTATAATAATCCAGTTACCTCAGGGTGCCGGTTGTCGACTAAATTTCCTTCCGGCTGCATGTAATAACTACACACTGTAAAAAATGACTAAAGTAGCGTGCATTTTCCTCATTGATTTTCGATATCTCTAAGTGTCTAATTATATTTCATGGAAAACATGCATAAAAATATTCATTTTTTTGCTCATTCGGTAGAAAATCACGTCTCCTTCCAACATTATACTGGAAGGAAGGGTAGAATTGGGTTTTCAAAAACTTTTCCAATTCCCGAATAATTTTAAACCCGCCCTATCGTTACACTTGGATTCAGAATTTCCAAACGACAGGCCGTATAGTTTCCGCGTACGGAAAGCCATGCAGTTCTCTACACTAATAAAGGGGAACCATACAGGGCTCATAAAACTTGGCAGTGGATTTGATCCATATTGTTAACTTTACAAGCCACATCGGTAAATGCAGATACATGACGATTTACGGACGGCCATTTCACGGTATTTAAAAGTCCCACAATCAGAAACTTTTTTAAAACCGAATTATGCTCCTCCTTCGAGCATAAGATTAGAAGAAGACGTAATTATCTACCGAATGAGCAAAAGAATGAATATCTTTATGCGTGTTTTCCATGAAATATAATTGGACTTTTAGGGGCATCGAAAATTAATGAGAAAATTGCATGATACTTAAGTAGTCATTTTTTCAGGGTATACTTTTTGCACGCAACCGGAAGGAAGTTCGTTTAAAAGATGGTATCCTAAGGTAACTGAAATATTATAGAATTATGTTGCAGGCTAAATAGTTTTAAACCGTTACTTAATTAATCTTTTCGAAACGAGAACGCATTTCGAAATTTCGGTTGACATTTCATGAGTTAGCCCACCTACTATCGGCAGTCTTTTCGAGTCGAAAATGCATTTCGGTTAACATTTAATGAGATGGCACATCCACTGTACGAATGCCCTATTATTGTGATGAGTAAGTTTCATGCAGCGAGCGTACTCAGAGTGCCACAATCACTCAGCGCCGTCGCAACCAGCAGCAGAATACCCGAGGGGTCAGAATGGGGGGGGGGACTCTATTCTGTACAGAACTCCAAGAGGGAGGAGGAAGAGTGTCGGTCAGCACGTCAGGGACGCTCACGGGGAAGGTGGATGACCTGGATGCATTGACGCGTTGAACACAGAGGGTCGGAAATCGTAATGATAGCTGTCGGTTACGGTATGACTGTTGATTTCTTGTTTGGAACAAATTAGACGCCACGCCCGCCAGCGAGCCCATACCGGTCTACTGCTTGTTTTCGAGTAGGGCAGAGCAAGTGGGGATCATTGTTCGTTTGGTCATTTTTTAATTATAAGCAGTCAAACGCGCTTTAAAGCTATGACAACGTGTCGAAAGTCAAAGCTTGGATCTTTGATAACTGACGGAATAGCTCAGTCCCACGTAGTGTTGGGATTGGGAAAGGTCAGATTACAATGGCTCCATCTTACTATAGTCCTTATTGCACTGGCATTTATGCGAGACCTGGGACCAACCCACCCCCCTGAAGACCGTTCCGTGTGTAGTTAGGCGCCAGCACGTGTGTGCTGCACGTAGAAAGGCATCTGGTCAGCCACTGTCGTCCTGACTCCGTGTATGTAAAGGGAGAGAGTGCGCTAGATGCAACGCAAGCCTGCCCCACTATAAAGCAAGTTT